AAAGAAAAACGTTCACTGAATTTCCCTAAGATTTCTCACACTTCTCACTTAGGTGCTCAAGGCTCAAGGCTATGCCCAGCTTAGAGCTCGAGAGTTCTAAACCAGCCTGAGCAAGGGTGAGACTTTGTCTCTTTTGACAAGCTTTTTTTCTTCTCCGTCTACCTGTATTAGTTTCCTAGCACTGCCAAGACAAAATACTACAGACTACAGTCTGTAGTACTTTTAAACATCTGTCATTTAAACAACCCTCCAGGTTAAGGGAATCTTAGCTGAACAGGTCTTGATGAAAAGACTTTCGGGAAAAGCTCAGGGTTCAGAACCAGCAGGAAACTAGTGAAACAGAATACTCTCAAATCTGAACGGAAAACCAGAGCCCATAATGGTGTTCTCTTCCAAAACAAAATAATGCAGTTCTAACTAACACGCTTTGGAAAAATAACAGCTTTGTTTGGAAAAATACAACAAATGTATTATCATATTATTTCAGAGTTCTAGATTCTAGAAGTCCTAAATCAAGGTATCAGCAAGGACTATGCTCCCTGATGGCTCTGGGAGGGTCCTTCCTCGCCTCTTCCAGCTTCTGGTGTTTGCCAGCATCCTTGGTGTTCCTTGGCTTGCAGACGCCTCTTTCCAGTCACATGGCTGTGTTCTCTTTGTATGGTTTCTCCTTTTTATAAGGACACCAGTCAAACTGGATTAGGGCCTACCCAGCAATCTCATTTTAACGTGATTTTCTCTATAAAGACCCTGTTTCCAAATAAGGTGAGATTCTGAGTTACTGGTCATTAGGACTTCAAAATATCTTTTGGGGAAGGACACAGTTCATCCCATAACAATTCAATTTAGTGAATGGTTAAAGGTTCCATCCTTGAATTCTCCAAATTAACTCAAAGCCCTTTCACTGAGTTACTGCTTCATGCCAGAGTTTGTATTCTCTTATGCCTCTCAGCAGCTCAGTGCACATCTTCACACAAGCCCACACAAGCTGCTCGCCTTCCGTTACCAAGAGGAACCCCCATCCCTCTCTGCTGCTGGCAGAGGAAGGACAGGGAGAGACAAGATGCACACTGGGCATAGCCTTGAGCTACTTGGGAGCTGAGCCTGGTTCCTGCCTCCTCTCCTGGAGTCACCCTTGGCTAGGGCAGGAGTCAGGCTACTTTCTGCAGCAGCTTGACAAATGAAATGCAGTGTGACATGGTAAAATGTGGAATCCAAGAGCTCCACAGAAAATAATATTTTATTCAGCAACAGGGCTGCCTGTTGTAATTTTGTGACTGCCATAAAACTGTTTAGGGCTCCCCCTGTTTAGGGCCTGGAGATCTTTCATATTAAACAGGCTTCACAAACCCTGAATGAGTTCCAGATTCTGAGACTGCAGACTTCAGTCCCCCTTCCTTTTCCTTTGTGGTTGAGTTTTTTTCTTTGTTGAGGTGTAATTTACATAAAGTAAAATGCTGTTCTCTAAAGAGTACAGTTAAAAAAAATTAAAAAAAATAAAGAGTACAGTTTAATGAGTTTTGACAGATGTATATACCATGTAAACCAGATACCATCACTCCAGAAAGTTCTTTTAGGACCCTTTCTGATCAGTTGCTCCCTACCACCTCAGAGACAACCACTGTTCTGATTTCTCTTACCACAGATTAGTGTTTTAAAAAAAGTAGAT